TCCTGCCCTTTGGGCAGGGGGCTGGACTCGATGATCTTCCGAGGTCCCTTCCAGCCCTAATGTCTATGAAATCTATAATGTCTATGAAATGACATACAAAATATATCTTACAGAAAGGTGAAGATCGCTAACTCCTGATAATTAGTCTCTCCCTGATAATTAGCCATTTTTATCAATCCTCCTGGAGTAACAAATAAAGCAGATTTTACTAGAAAGTGCTTCAAGAGCCACTGGAATTCAGCTCCTCTAAAAATTAGGCCACTTTCATGGAGGCAGCTGACTATGGATTTAGGTGCCAAACTGCATCACCAATATTGAAAAAGTTGGTTTAAGATTTTTCCCACCCCCTGGTGTTATCTTTTTAATTAAACTTGGATCTCCTCCTGATACTTTGTTTCAGGATGTTATAACGGTATCTACTATCACAGCACTGAAAAATCTAGGTAGCATTAAGGAGTGGAAAGATCAAATCATGGAGGGATTTTCGTCTTTTAAAAGTTCAATTATTGTATTTCTCTCTCTTGCTAGCACCATTCCTACCTGAGGTTTCATCTGTTAATAGCATATTATTATTTGACCAGGTGTGTGATTTGGTACTGGCTCAGTTAAATCACTGCCAGTCTGCGTGTGGACAGTTGATCAGGTTCAATTTAATCAAGTTTGCATTGCTAGAGCTAGTGTGCCGACTGGGCTAGCAGTTTAACCGTGCTTGCTCCATAAAAGCATTCTCTCTCTTATCACAGATGGAATATGTCCATTTGGAGCACGTGATTTGTAGCTTAACAGTCAATATCTTTTAAGAATACTTAACGCGCGGGGCATTTAACTTGGAGAACTGTTGAAAGCAGCGCTCTTTTGACACACTTAGCATTTGATAGTTTGCATTTGTGTGACTGATCTGGACATTTATAACAGAACAAGAAAGAAAGCTGCACGGTTCTTAGCTACAATCAACAAGACAAGTTACGAGGACAGACATTCAGGTAGTGTTATAGCTCCTCTGCTCCTTGGCCAGACAGTAACTTCAGGGAAGTTGCGTGTTCTCCTTAGATTAGAACAGGTGATCCTAAAGAGCCAAATACTCCGCACTAATGCACCTGCCTGTGTGCATTTTGGAAAGACATTAAGCACATTAAACTTACTTTACAACATCCTTACTTGACAGCAGAAAGATGTAGTGTAGTAAAAGTATTTCCTGTCTAATGAAAGCTACATCTCGAATTCACACCTACACTCCGGCATGCAAAGGTAACTGTGACTGAAGGAGAGAAGGTCACTGGCTGGGTGGGAAGTATCATACTATCATGTGAAAGAACTAGAGTTTTGGCAGAACCTGTGGATTAAAGCCCTGAGGAGCTGGCATGACAGAAGTGATGTTCAGCTGCAGGAGGATAGAGGATGGAGGGTCATTGCATAGGAGAGTGGCTGATGTTTCTGTACAGTTGTGTGCTGCGTGGGTTGTAGGCGTGGGTTGAGATATGTATGTCCTTAGCCAAGAGTATGACCGCATTCCAGGAATACCCCCATTCTTGTGTTTAACAGCCAGTCAGCTCTAGGGTTCCTCATTATTTAGACAAAAACCGAGCAATTGGTGGTTTTTAATAACAACTGTGTTTAAGGTGCCATTGCTGGAAATGCTGCTTCAGGGCTGAAGGTTGGGTAACAATGTTATTCGTATGGGAACGTGATGTATCCCATATATCCCACATCTTCTTCCTGCATAATTATATTGACTCTGTGATCTCATCAATTAACATTTGAGAAAACTCATGTTACCCAACAGAAAGCTGAACTGAGTTGATGCTGACAACTAATGCTGTACATGTGGTATTTTTCCTGCAAAATAATTCCAGAACAAGCTGTCCTGATGTTCTCTAATGGCCAACATTTAAGGGAATTTTAAGTCACCTACAAGCTATTATCACACCCTTTGGGAGTTATTAAAGTACAACACATCGTTCCATTAGGCTTAAGAGAGTCTTTAAAATGCTAGATTGCCTTTCTTTACAAATGACCATACCCTTTTATTATACTGAACTAGAAGCAGGAAGAGAAGAAACAGGAATGAGTGCAGTAATCTCTATTCAGGATTCTTTGAGCTCGTTCTGTGAAAAAACACCACCCCTACCCCTTCCTATCATGTCTGATATTTCCCGAATAAAGTCTAGTCTAACAGCATGGTAACACCGACCAGCGCAGACAGACAGACACATGAAGACACACCCACCCCAGTATCAGGTCATGTTTCAAGCATTCATATGCAAGTCAGAAATACAAATGAGCATTTTTCCCACAGACAAGTCCCATCCCCTCCATCTCCTCACTGCAAGAATCACAATATTTCCTGAGTTTGTAATTAAAAGACCAGAACTTCTGTTGGTGTAAATCCATGTAGCCCCACTGAAATCAGTGGAGCTGGACCAACTTCTTCCAGCAGAGGATCTGGCCCAGAGACTGTAGTTCTGGGGGAAAACCCTCCCTCTCCCAATCCTCACTGATCTGTAGTCCCCCTGCACCTCCTTCTCACACTGATTACAAGTTTCAAAATCATCAGTTTAAAGAAAAGGAATTTCCCCCAGCTAAGCGTGAGCTTGCAGGTGTTCTCCGCTGAAGCCATTGCAGTAGACAGACCGACCAAGTGAGCCGCCGTGCTTGGATTTGCAAATCTGGCTCTGCCACTCTGCAGATAAGAGGCCTTGAAGCAGCTCCTGAGGACCAGCAAACTAAGAAGCTACTTACATTGCTGCTGTCAATGCTCACAAATCACCGTTCACCCTTGCCAGACCCCAGTGGTGTTGTATGCAACTCGCACTGAGATTTTTACAAGGGATATAAACCCTCCTGTTTCAGGGTATGAACAAACCAATTGGATCAAGGTTAGCAAGAACATACCTGTATGCTCCTAGAACTGTCTGCCAAGATGCTTGCTGACCTTTCTACCGGAGCAACTAGTACTTGCCTTTGTCGGAGACAAGTTACTGGACTCGACAGATGCTTGCTCTGACCCAGCGTGACATTTCAATAGTCTTATCTACACAGCTTCCCCTCCATCTTCACATTACACAGCTTGGACAAGGAGTCAGCCTACCCATAGGCTCAGCGGAGTAGAAACAAACATTTTGAACGGGTGCAGAGAATGGAAATTTGTTTGCAGTTGCAGAACCATTCAGCATGTGAAGCAGCCTGGTCCTTCACCTAGCATGCTTTCCTGGCTGCAAGGCATAGCCTTGCTGCTCAAAAAGGCTGGTTCCTTCCCTCACCTTGATGCCCCATTACTGCCTTTTGATGACTGAGAGCTTAAAAGAGATAGCTGGTAGGTGACACTCAGCCAGGTGCACCTTAGGGTGTCCTTGAAGTGTTTTCACAGTCAATCGGTTCCTGCTCCTGCACTCCAGCTCACCGTATTGAGGCTGCTTAGGCATTTGTGCACTGTCCATCTGAGCCATGAGACTTCATGATAAAAGACTCCACAGATCCAAAATCAGCTTCTGTACTGCCTTATGTGGACTAGGGCGTAAGGATGCCTGTGGGGGAACTCTACCATTTGACAAACTTGCCTTCTGTACAGCGTTCAGATCTCACAGCGGCAAATCAAACATGATGGCCTTCCTCACCTTTAATCTGATTAATTTTATCCCACAATGGCTCCATACTTGTATTCTAAGCAGTAGTGTAACCTGTAGCCCTGGGCACTGATTATGAGCGGGCACCAGAATTGCCACCCACCAGGAGTCTTTGCCATAGCAGGGGCAACCCCGCGCTGCCCCTGCCCAGCCATAGGAGCATGGCAGCACAGCATCACACCAAGCAGCATATCCGGGGCATAGGGGGGCAAGTGAAACGAGCAGAATGGTGCTTCCCTCCTCGCCCCCAGGGAATCTGTCACAGTAGGTGCAGCCCTGCACCCAGTATGTATGGATGGGGTCCTGGGGAGGGGAAGTTAGCAGGGCACCAGGTCCAGCTCCCAGGGAGCCTCGCCACAGGGCTGCCGCCCCCAGAGTGAAGCTGATGGCTACAGCAGTGGCAGCAGCAGCCCCAAAAAGGTAA